GGTGCCTTCCGCACTTGAAGAGGGAGCAGCCATTTGCATTTGCGGGGGGGGGGCAGCGAGGAGCAGCAGTGAAAGAGCAACGAGTCGCGAGCCCTAAAAAGCCAAGAGGAACCCCGCTGCCTGTTGCACCAACCTCGACGGTCTTCCATTTCCAGTCCCCCCTTCCCCTCCCACGCAACCACTCACACTCACCACTCACTACTCGCTGCACCACCTCAGCTACCGACCCCTCGATCCAGACCTACCTAGCCCGCACCCAAGCCCGCGATAGCCACCGGTACGTACCGGTCTGGGGCTACTATTGCAGCGGCTCGGTGCATCGTCGTGGATTCAGCGAGACCATCGAGTGCAGCGTCGAGACTCTGAAGAGTGTCGAGGCCGCGACTCGCCCGCTTTTGTCTGTCTTATTGGCCTGGTTCCTCGTGCGCCGGCAGTGCATCGCGTGTGGGCTTGCCGAACTGAGCGGCGGATATCCGACCTTCCTTACTCCCCAAACCCAGTGCTCCAACTGCCCCTGCTGGGCAAGTTACAAAGTTACGCCCGCAGCGCAACGGAGTGGACTGCAGCAATCAGCAATCGCTCGGCTCGCCCCATTCATACATCCGCCATATCCCCTCTTTTGCTCCTCATCTCTGCTATCCGGCCATACCCTATCATTGCCGTCGCCGGCGCTTTGGAATAGCATCTTCCCACCTCGCTCGCGCCCTGCCTGTTGTTATCGGCTGTGTGTCAAGTTCCAGGTTGTAGGAGTAGGCTTCGACGGTGCGCTGCAGTGTGAGTGCTGAGAGCAGAGAGCATCTTAGCAATACGCCCGTTGGCGGAGGGTAACCGCTGCATGCGCAATTGACAACAGCTGGCTGCCCCTCTTCTTCGAATTTGCGCCCTCAGGTGCCCGCCCTGGCTTGCCCCGTGCCCGCGCCCGCGCGTTTCCCAATTGTTGGTGAGGAATCGGGCCGCCCCTCCACCGCCCAAACCCCCCGCCCCATCCGCCATCCGCCTCAAGGTCAGGTCAGGTCACCGCGCACACTCTCGCCCGATCAACTAAGATCTCGCAAAAAAATGCCGGCTTCCAATCTGCCCGAGTTCCGCCACGCGCGAACTGGCAGCCTCAACATCCAACCCACGAGCGCCCGTTCCAATGGCATCATGAGTCCAGCTCCTGGAGGTCAGAGATTTGACGGGCCTAGGAGCCCTCCAAGTAAGTCGCCTTCTTTCGGAAAACTCTTGCTTGTCGCGCCGTCTGACTAAAGAGATGCGGCTGCTTGGACCTGATGTACTGACGCGATGGCGCTTCTCGCAACAACAGACACATCGCACGTTCCCTGCAAGTTCTTCCGCCAGGGCGCCTGCCAGGCCGGCAATGCCTGCCCCTTCAGTCACGATCTCGGCACCGCGTCCGAGACGGTGTGCAAGTACTTTGCAAAGGTGCGTGGCAAAATCCCCGCACTCCCGGCGGCCCGGGTCCACCTGCCCGACCGCGAGAGCGTCGCACCACTCGCAGAGGAGATGACTAGGGTGCTAGCTAGCTAGTGAGGTTGTACTGACTTGTTGTGTCCCTTTGCGCAGGGCAACTGCAAATTCGGTCCCAAATGCGCAAACATCCACATGCTCCCCGACGGCCGCCGCATCAACTACGGCAAGAATGGCAACCTGACGATAGGATCGGCAGCGCCCGTCGCCCTCGGAGCCCGCGTGAACCTCACGACATACCACGCACCTTCCAACAGCGCCCTTACCAACTCGTTCCTGCGTGCCGACGGCGTGCCACCCTACACCGCCACGAGCCCCTACGACGAGCAGTACGAGCACCAGCTGGGACGCCAGCCGAGCATGGAGAATGGCCTGCCAACTATCGACACAACCTATACCTCAAACCCCGCGTCTGCCTACGGTTCTCCACGCGATGAAGACATTAATCGCTTCGGTTTCGGACTCTCCCCGGTGAATACAAAGGGACTCTCGGTCTTGGATGCCCCGCTGCCTGCGTCCTTCGACAGCAACGGCATCTCGCACGCAGCCCGCTACGGGCCGTGGCCATCCTCGGTCCCATCCAAGTTTGGCCTCGAATCACCCTCCCCGTCTCTCAATGCCGCCAAGGACGGCCGCACATCAGAGACGCTCAAGCTTCTACACGACTCGGCTTTTGGCGGCAGCGACCACCTGTCGCCCTCGGCGATCAGCTCCGCTGAGATGGGTGGCTTCGGAAGCAGCCCACCCACCAACTCTACCATGCACGGCATCGCTCTGGCCAGCGACGAGTATTTCGGCAGGAAGGCGATGCATAGTAGCTCGCTACGCTTCTCCAAGCCACGCCTGCTAAGCAGCAGTGCGCCCAAGATCGATCGGGACTGGGAGGCTGGGTTTCTCTTTGAGGAGGATTACGTTCCGGGGACTTTGGCGAACGAGGTGCTCACACCGGCCGAGAAGGCCAGGCGGGGATCTACGACCAATACAGTGCGCGCCGGCGACCTGGACCAGCCAACTGAGCCGGCGCCTATCGGGATGACAAAGTTTGGCAGCCCCGCCACAGCCGCCGCGAGCCCGAGCCGGTGGGGATCCTTCTTCCACCAGAGACAGCGGGACGAGGATGGGTTGGACATGGGCGGCTCGAGCCACTCGCTCGGCTCCAACCGGCCGGTAAAGTACGCGTCGGCCTTCGGGCACGTCGGCAGCCCGCTGCGCAACTCGAGCCTGGCGAACGGCATCATAGCCGAACTCAACGGCGACTCCAACAGGCCCGGATCGAGCCGGCAGGGCAGCGGTAGCGGCAGCGAGTCGCTCTCCGTCCTCACCCAACAGCTGCAGCTCACACGACTGGACGATACTCCCAGCTCGAGCCCCCACCTCCACCCCAACATGGTGCGCCCCGTCGGCGGGCCGATTGGCGCGGGCATCATTGGCAAGGAGCGCGACAAGGAGCGCGGGCTGGAGCGGCACGTTAGCAGCGGCTCGATTGGCTCGAGCGTGACGGGACGCTTCACGACGCCCATCGACGAGGAGGACCCCGCATTCGTGTTCAGCATGGAGGAGGAGGACGACGCGCAGGTGAGGGCGCGCAAGCGCGCGTCTGGCGGCCATCTGGGCGCCTCGAGTCCGCTCAGCGCGGGGTGGAGCTATGCTGCCGCGGTGGCCAGCAACCGGAATGGGGCTGCCGGCGGAGTCAATGGTGGCAGCGCGCGCAGTGGGGGCGCCGCCGTTGAGACGGTCGGGGGGAGATGAAGCAGCCTGGCTTGGGTTTAGAGTGTGTGGGTGGGTGGTGTGGCGCCATTTGTTTTGCGGACAACAAAAACATTGCAGTGGCACAAAGATTTGGGGAATGATTGCATGAGCCATGGCCAGGCGTAATTTTGGTGTTTTTGCCCCCCCCCCCCCTGATCAAAGCGTTACATATATACGATCAGATCTCCCCTCGACTTTTTGCTTTTCTTTCTTTCTCTACTGTCCTCCTCCGGACTGGGCTACCATCGGTTAACGGAGATCCCGCTGGCAGCCGGCGATATGAGCATCGGTCGCCCTCTCCTACTTTGCATGGGGGGTGGTGTCTCTTTTGGTTTGACCACCCGCTTTACGTTCAGGATTATGCACACTTGGACAATGTGGGCTGTGGGGGATGTGGGGGATTGGAGAATGGGGAGAATGGGGGGAACCCGGGCAAGCAAAACAATAGGTTCCGGGGCAAGACGGGGTTTGGCCAAATCATTTTGAGGATAGGGAATACGGCGGGGAGAAGGAAAAGAATTACCAAAACAAAAAAAGAAATACATTAGGGGGTTGGGCTGGGTTAACCAGGGGAGTTGTTTTTTTTTTTGTCACGGGGGGGTGCTTTGTTAAGCTGGAATTTCCGATGAGGGCTGTTGCTAGTGTTTTACTGTATAGCATCATTGGCAAGGGGTTGTCATAGGTGGGTTTTGCATTGTGAGTTGTGGATGTTTTGTTGGTTTATAAAAAACACGATCACCCATCATTTCTGCTTTATGTGTGCCGGTGTATGAGGCGATCATGGTTGTGAAACTGTCTTGAGGCCGTGGGGATGTTTGCCGTTGCTGGCCAGGTTGACTTGACTATTCGGGAATATGTGGTCTGGCGCTCGATATCAGCCGCATCATGCATCCCTTGGGCAGAAGACGGCTCTTTGCAGCCTGGTGTCCATCTTGTGAACATGACCCGGGCCTTGGGTGACGAGAGCGTGGCAGTAGACACGGTTGGGGAGAGGAGCAGAGCCTCGGCCGTAGGGGCTTCGGCACACGGAAGGCGTGCCTTGATCTTGATTCGAGCTTGGCAAACTACCTTACCAAGGCCGCGGTGTCCGGCCGAAAGCCAGAGGCTACGTTGAGCATCAGATGTTGGAACAGAGTGTAAATGGCCCCTCTTTCCCCCCCTCGGTGGTCTTTAATCCGAACTGAGTATGCCCTGCCGTCCAAAAGCCTGGCAACCTGGCGGTGGCGTTGCCTTTGACCAGGGGGCAAGAGTCATCGCCTGGGCTCAGCAGCCTCGAAAGCAACAACCGGCTGAGCCTCACAGTTTCTGGGTTCAACCAACACCCCCCCAGCCAAGCCCCGTGCCTCTGTTTTGGCCGCGACGTGTAATCTGCCCAACACGGGAAAAAGTGACGATAAGATATCCCGCCATGAGGTCTCAATCCCAACCACCATCCGTCGGTGAACGTGAGTCAAGTTTCTCGCTGGCGTCCAAGACATCACCGCCGCCCAATGCCCGTCAAGGCGCTGCTTCTAACGGGCGAAACAACGAGGCAGTACCTCCTCCATGGGCCGCCACTAAGTTGGCCCGGGGCCAGCCACGCCGGAGGCCCCAAGAACTGCGCATCTCCAACGGCACAACCCCCATTCCACCCCCTCAGACCCGTTTGTCGGGACATCCTGGCGTCCCGACTCCCCGAAGATAATCCACAACTCCACACCAACCCACCATCAATCAATCACAGAGGTGTCTCCATCTTAGCCCTCCCAACCGCACGACAAACTCATCAATGCTGAAGCCAAGGTAACGTGGCCGAGCGGTTAAGGCTCCACGTTAGAGTTAGTCAAGACCTTGATACCAATCTCTTGGGGGATCCCGTGGTCCGAAAGGGCGTGAGCTCGAATCTCACCGTTATCATGAAGGCAAAATTCATTTTGTTGCGGCCGGCTGCTTTGGTCCTCGATGGCGATGAGTCCAAGGCGGATCACGTGGGAGACTGGCTGAGGTTTTTGTGTTTCGGTGGGTGGGATGTTGGGAGAGAATTCTGTTAGCGTGGGACGGCCAACTCCAACATAGATCCTGTAGCAGGTTACTACCGTGGTTAGCAGGGGGGAACCTCCCGGAATGTTGCAAAGACAATAGGGTAGGTAGGTAGCACAAGTCCGTCAACATGTCCAGCAGAAACGGTAACAAAATCTATACACGGGCATCCCGCCGTGAAGCTGGGACAATGTTTTTTAACCTCGAAATGTGCCAGACGCAGACAGACGACCCAACACCTCTCCATTGGTTATATGGTTTGTATTCTCACACAATGGCAGCGAGCACCCACACCGATGCAGGCCGGCCCACGACGATATTACCCCCCCCAACCCATGTCGTCCGCCGTCTATAGTGACTAGGGAGTGGCGTGGTGTGCTGCGTTCAACTTCCGTAGTCGTGATATGGTACAGGTAGCATGGACATCCATCCATCTAGTTCGCGTCGGGCTGGCTGACAATGTACTCGACCGCCTTCTCCACTGTTGCGGGCGTTAGCTTTTGTTGTCCTGAGGGAAGGAATGTCACGTACCGCTGTGGATCGTGTCGGCGTCCTTGTCCGGGATCTCAATGCTGAACTCCTGTGCGGCGACTCTTGTTAGCGGTGCTCGGCGCATCCGGCGTTTTCGCCAGGACAGAAAAACTATACCTCCTCAATCGCCATCACAACCTCCACCGTGTCGAGACTGTCGAGGCCGAGGTCATTCGCGAAGTGTGCCGTTTCTGTGATCTGCGCGTCTGTCAGACACCCGCCTCGCTTCCATGACAAAAAAATCTATTGGCAGCGGTACTCACGTTGCTAGGATCGTTGACCTGCGAAAAGAAAGGTTAGCCACCAGAAAACCCCCATCCATTGCTCCCTCCCCCATTCCCCTCCCCCCTCCCCCCAAAAGCCCCGCAAAAACTCACCTTGTCAAATCCCGAGAGCAGCGCCTTGATCCGCTCATAGACATCCTTCTTGTCGAGCCCGCCCGCGGCCGAGTAGCATCGGACAGCCTGCCACGCCGCGGCCTTGGGGGCAGCAGCCCTGATCGCAACTCTCGGGGCCACAGCGCCGATGGCGACTCTGCTGACAACGACGGGGCGGATGACGGCGGCGGCGCGCGCGGCTGATCGGAGGATGGTGGTGCGGAACATGGTGTGTGCTACTGTAATGGGTGAGGACGTCGTGTGGCGAGGAATTGAGGGTTGAGGCGTCCGAGGTTTTGTCGAGCTTCGAGATTTAGGGGGGGAGGTTGAATTGGGGATTGATTATGGGTGGCCGGAGGTGATGATAAATTTCTCGCCAAACGTCGGGATTGAATTGCAGGTTCCCCCCAAAGCTTGGGGCAGGAGCTTTCCTGGTCTGTGCGGGTCACGTGAGACATACAAGAAAGTTACGTGCTTCGGGAGGCTAGCTAGATTGCTGTAGAACTTTGGCCATTGGTGTTAGGGCAGCTTGAATTGGGGATGCAAACAAAAGGTAACCACCCATGAGAGTCAAAGTCGGTTGATAGCAAATAAATAAAAAGAGACTTTTACGTCTTGGTGCAGGCGCCGTATGTACAGCTCTATCTACAAATTCCATCCTCAACTCCCACCCAAGACCAAGACCCGTCCAACACCAACACTCGTCACATTTATCTGTAGGGGGCATCCGCTCTGATGGCCGCCGCCAGCTCCGGCTCCCACTTGTCTCCATTGGATAGCAGTTTCTCTGTAACACCGTTAGCATCCATTCCCCAAAGCCGCAGCAGCGATTCTCTCTTTTCCCCGTGTACATACCCTTGTTGTAGAGCAGCTCCTCGCGCGTCTCGGTGGCGTATTCGGCGTTGGGCGACTCGACAATGGCATCGACGGGACACGACTCCTGGCAGAAGCCGCAGTAGATGCACTTGGTCATGTCGATATCGTATCTCGTCGTACGCCTCGATCCATCGGCGCGCTCCTCAGCCTCAATCGTGATGGCCTGCGCCGGGCAGATGGCCTCGCACAGCTTGCAAGCAATGCACCGCTCTTCTCCCGACGGGTACCGGCGGAGGGCATGCTCACCGCGGAAGCGCGGCGAAATCGGGCCCTACAATTCTTCCATCAGTCCCCCAATCCCCGTTTCCCGGATGGGGGAAACATACCTTCTCAAACGGATAGTAAATCGTAAACGGCGGCCGGAAGAACTGCTCCAGCAGCACGTACATGCCGCGGAACATCTCGGTCAGCAGAAAGTAGTTGCCAATCTTGTCCATCGTGCCCTCCTTCTCCTGGTCCCATGCCACCGGCGGCTTGAGCCGGAAGCCCTTGGGCGGTGGGCCCGACGGCGTCGCGTACGCGCGGGTCTGCTGCGTCAGGACCGTGCGGAGGAGGATGGACGCGGGGGTGCGCATGGCCAAGAGCTGGCGGGCGACCATGGTCGTCGTAGCGGGCAGCATGGCGGGCGGATGGTGCTGTTGAGGGGAGATGGGGGTTGAGGGTTTTCGCTTAGTTGTCGGAGAGGCGACTCAATCGGGTTGTTTGTCGGTCGGGGGGACCAGCCGCGGCGAGGGCGTGCGGGTGCCAATTGAGCGGGGCGGAGTGAGTCCGGTCCGCGGCGGGCAAGGTGGCGAGGTGGGAGCGAGGTTGAGGAGCTCCCCGGCGACGTTGACGTGATGGATCCCTGGAGCTTGGAGGCGAGCGTTCGGGATTTTGGGGCCATGGTTGACGGGATTACAATTCTTGGACGGTGATTGGTCGGTGGGGAGAGCTGTGGGTCAGGGCGTGACGCAGCACGTGATACCCCTCCATTTCACCACTTCGGCCGGACATTGGCTGGGAATTGCTTCGCATTGAGTTCATTCTGCATCAGTTATCGAAATTAGAACTGCCAAGGTAATCATTGTCTGGAAGTGAAAGGATGTCTCGGGGTATTTATCATCACCAGCACCAACAAAGGCAGCACACTGGTCCTCAATGCCGCTCCTAAATAACAAACACGCAATGTCCAAGGTAGATATGCACGCTAGGTAGAGACCCCCCTAAAACGTCCTCTCCCACGTCGTCCACCAAATCCCCACATTGGCCGCAACAACCAAATCCAACATCTTCAGCCCCTCGTCGTGAATAATCAACTTCCCCAGCTTGGCCCTATTCCCCCTTGTCCCACCACCCATCTCCTCCCTCCCAATACTCAAATCCATAGGTTCATCCTCCTCCCAGTCCTCCTCATCGCTACTCCCCTTCTCCAGATGCTGCACCACCTTCCGAAACCCGCCCTGCAACTTGCCCTGCAACTGCCCCTGGAGGTGGTGATGATCCCACTTCCCCTCCACCTTGGGCGGCGCCGGCGCCGGCGCCGTCTTAAACGCATCCGTCCCGGGCAGGTTGAACCGCAACTCACTGACCGGCTTGGCGCCCACCAGCGCAGCGGTCACCTCGTCCCCGCGGACAGCCCGGCCCATGGCCTGCGCCTCCCTGATGTTCTGCGCGACCGCCACGGGGTTGAACTTGGGGCTCTTGGGGTCTAGGATGTGTTGACACTTGAGGCTGCGCCCGCTCGCGCTCGTGCGGAACTCGCACCGGCCGTCCCACGGGCTGACAAACACATAGCCCTTGGGGCGCAGCCCGGGCCCCGGCGTGGTGATGGGCGAGGGGGGCGATTCGCGCCCGTCCGAGCTGCCGTGCCGCTGGCGGTCCAGGTCGGCGCTGCCGGCGCGCTGGTGGAACGGGCGTTGGGGCGGGGCTAGGTCCGAGGGGGAGAAGTCGCCCCTCTCGTCTACGGACGAGGTGGCGCGGTCGCGCCGGTGGAAGGCGTGCTTGATGTTGGACGTCCACGTTTTTGAGTACGCCATGACCACCTGCCGGGCGAACCCATCCTCGGCCTCGTGGGGCCTGTTGGGCCCAGGCACCGTCCCCGCCGCGCCGGACCCCGTCGCAAGCCCCTTCATCGTCTGCGCAAACGAGTGGCCGGACCCGGGGCGGTAGGCCTCGACCGACGCCAGGCTCGGCATGTTACGGTACTTGGCGTAGCCCGACGTGTCGAGGCGGATGTCGATCTTGTGCGGCCGCGGCAGCGCGCCCATGTCGTCGGGGTTGAGGCTCGGGTCGGCGAGGTCCGGGGTCGGGATGTTGGTTTGGAAGGAGGAGACTTTGCCAATGTTCCACTGCCCGCCCGTCGTGGCATCGCGGCGGATTAGGGTCAGGGAGAAGGGGAAGAAGGAGGCGCGTCGGCCGGTGGGTTTGCTGGGGGAGAAGGCGCCGTGGGAGTTGATGGCGCGGGCCGGTGAGCCGACGCGGGTGGGTTCGGTGAAGTGAGGGCCTGACTGGGTCGGGGTGAGGGGGCGATCCCCAGGCAACGGAAGGTCCCCTTGGGGAGTCACCAGAGTATTCTGAGGTCTAGGTCCCAATGGTCTCCGTGCGATCGGGGCGCTTGATGGCGGTGTGAGTCTGCTTTGTGGTCGGGGCGGCAGCTCGGGGGCGGCTTCTGGGGTCGGAGCGGATCCTTGGTCTCGAAACATAGGGTTCGGCTGAGAGACCTCGATTGGGGACTGGACGGGTGGGATACCTGTGTTGAAGGTCACGGCTTCGGGAATTTGACTCGCCAGTTCGGGCACCCTCACTGCGGCCGGCTGGGTTACGGAGGCGACACTTTCAGCCGTAGCGTTCTCGAGCTTCGGGACCCTCAAAGACGAGGGCACCGGCTTCCTGGGGATGACACTCCTCGCGCTCTCGCTGCTAGATCGAGGCGATGTCAGGTCGTCACGGAGGTGCGCGGCTGCCAGCAGCTCATCTGTAGGCAGATCGAGGTGCACGTAGTAAAGCGAGTTTGCAACATCCTCGGCCGTCACGTTCTTCCTCTGCGGTCTAAGCGTCGAAAGAATGACGTCTGGGGATATCAGCAAAGGCACAAGACATCTTTATACGAGACAC